CTTAGGTTACTCCAAAAAGGCAGCAGAACAGCCGGGAGTCAAGCTTTTCTATTCGTGCTGGTGCTTGCTTGCCTCCCTTCTGTGCCTCTCCGTAGCGTTAATTTAGGAGGCCCTGTGGATTCATCGGGAGCAGCAGGCGTGAATGCCTTCCCCTGTGACATCCCGAGGCTCTCCATCCGCCTGAAACAGTGGATCATCTCCTGTGTGCTGGTTGTAGCTCAGGACATGTAGTAAAAGCAAGAAGACGAGCACAGTCTGATGGAATGGACTTGTGTTGAAGGATAGGGTCGGTGCTGCAGCACAGTGACGCTTGGGAAGGGGTGCAAATCTCCTTGAGATGAGACAGCAAGTGGTAGCTGTGGTCTGCAGATTTCCTCACTCATCCCCAGTGGAGCCTTTCTCATGGACTCTGTATTCCGGATGCTGCACACATTGGTGTGTGCGCTGCATGGGAGGGAGGCCCAACAAGTAGCCCTGCTTCATGTGGAAGCAATTCCAAATGACTTACTTGTAAGGACATTTTCCACACTAGACATAGCCCACTGTGTCCATTTGATCCATTCTCTGTATACATCTTTCGACGTGTGGAAATGTATACAGCCTGAGTGGGAAAACCAGCTCTCTTACTGTTTTAAGCCAGTTGTGCCCTATCTGAGATGTTTCTGTGGCTGGGTAGTATAATTGTCTGAACTGATTTCAGAGTGGATGCAGACATCTTTCGTAGCCAGTGAGATTATCATCTTGTTGCTCTTCAGCTGCGCTTCTCAGTGGTGGGATGAGATGTACACATGGATGAAATTTTACAGGGGAGGGCAGTTCAGACTTAGCATCTTCTGGCATTTAGAGTGGAATTCAGCTTCCCCGACTCGAACATCTAAAGATGGTAGGTTGGATTGAAACACCATCCCTCTCATGATTGGCATTTGAGATGCCTCAGGTGAGACTTCCAGAAGTGCCTATTTCTTCCATGGCCTAAAGGCAAACAGTCGGGTGGCTGGTTCCGTTTCAGACACTTACATTTTAGATGCCTAAGGACAGAAAAATTCTACTTCCTGGTGGCAGGAATTGTAAATTATTTGGTGGCATTGAAGATAATGCTAGAGCGTCTCCTAAATGCTTGTATAACATGCAGGGTATTCTGTCTACAGGGAAAGTGTGGGAAAGGCTGAAGAGACATGAGGCAATGCATATAAGCTCAGGCACATATATGGTGCACATATAGTCATAGAACTAGAATTGTGTTATTTAACAGAGCTGTCCCAAACTTTGTGAATGTTAAGGACTCTTGAGATCAGCATGGGTGATGGAACACCTCAGAGGGGATGGGGCCTAGGCAGTCAGATGTGGGAAAGCAAGAGAAGAAAGTGCAAAGGTGCTGGCCAGAGAGGGACCAAGTAAGAGCAGACAGCTATCCCCAATTTTCATTCATCTTGAAGCCCAGTGTGCTGGATTGGGTTAATGGCAGTGCTGTCAGAATGCTGAAATGAATTGTGCTGCAGGGACTGGCAGAAGCTAGCTGCCTGAGGAACAGAGTGCGCCCTAGTACAGAGCTAGGACCTGTTCGTCCAATCCATCCATCCTGCTGCGGTTGTCTTTCTAGCTTGCGGAAGTTCTCCCTACATGTCCTAGTTGCTCGTTTGCAGCATTCATAATAGCTGAGATACTGGTGATGGTGATAGGCAAGTTGTTGGGAGACTTTTTCCAATTGGCTTGATCTCAGTGGTGGCCATTTGTATATGACCACTGTGGTGAATGGTGTCCGCATCTTAAGCTGCCAGACAAGTGCTTCACATTGGCAGGTTCACTGACATTCATTGGTCACGCTCCCTAGGAGCACCTCAGGCTGTCATTCAGGAGACACCTCTGGTGCCTTAGACCGTTCTAGAAGAAAAAAAATAAATTAATATTACATCTTTTTTTTTTCCTTTCTCCCTTCATTATGGGATCACCATTCCCCTTTCATACCACTGCCCCTCTACTCTCATGTGGATCGCTGTCATTACTGCATATCTCCAGAATGCAGGGAGCAGCATCCTATGAGGTCTAGACTAATGGTGCTCCGCAAATTGCTTGTAGGAAGCACCCGCTAGCCCCATATTCCCATTGAAGTCTTATGTGCAGTAAAATTGCTCTTTCTTCTTGTTTGCAGTGCGTAAGCAAGAGATCATTAAGATAACAGAGCAGCTGATAGAAGCCATCAACAATGGAGACTTTGAGGCTTATACGTAAGTACAGTTGTCTTCTGACAGGTTGTCAGTTTGCTTGCAAGTGATGTTCTGGCTCCTGGGTATGAGGAGTTGTCATGCAGTCAGGGATGGTCAAAAGTTTTGTGTTTTTTAGCCTCCATCAATTAGGAGTAGAGCTATGGTAGAGTTCTCTAAATGAACATCAAGTCGAAGTCAGGTATCGGACAGCAATAGGAGTGACCAAAGGAAAATGTCCTGGCTTTGTAAGCAAAATAAGGGGGAGGGCAGTGATGTGGGCAGAAAGAGAATAAAAGAAAAGCCAGAAACCTAGAGGCCTGATTTATGTGAAATGCCAGCTAGCACCAACTCTGTGTTGTTGCAGCAGGACTGAGTCCTCCAGAAACTTACTCCTTGGAGTAGGGAAATAGTTAGGTGGGCACAGGGTATGAGCCAAATGCCATACCAGTGCTTCATTGTGCAAATAGCCCTTGGGCTCAAATGCAGACTGTAAGCCTGTGATGCTTTTCCTTGCAGAAAAATCTGTGATCCTGGCTTGACCTCATTTGAACCTGAAGCACTGGGAAACCTGGTTGAAGGAATGGATTTCCATAAGTTTTACTTTGAGAACTGTGAGTGGGTAGATTTGGTAACACCAACAGTTTTCTCTCTCATCTTCCTTTATGCCACATTTTGAGGGGGGAAATTGCCCTTGTTTTTACTGGTTCTCAGAACCAGAAAGAACTTGATTGTGCATGGGCTATGATGCATTCATAAGAGCCAGCATGTTTTCTCTCAAAAGCCTTTTTTCAGCAACAATTTCAATTCTAATCCTCGGATCCCTTCACTGTAGGCATACGGTTTGCCTGGTGCAAATATTTTGTAAGCATGGGCTGCAGGAGCTTTAAAAGTTTGAGGCACTGGATTTCCTACTGATACAGAAATGAAAAAAATGAGCATATTTTGATGGAAACAACATGTATGTTGACATACCGAATGGTCAGGCATAAAGACAGTCATGCACAAATGAGTCACGCATTTACTTCGAGTTTTCCCTGGACAGCTTCAGATCCCTAACACCTAATGAATCTGTTACGTGGATACAAGGGTCACCTTGTCAGCCTGGGGCAGGAAATAGAGTTGGGAGAAATGCTGTCATTTATACTAGTGGATTTGCCTCCCTTCCTGGATGTCTCCACAGGATGAGACAGTTGAAATTTAAATCTCGAGCTGTTCAGTTTGTTTTATTTTAGGGGGTAGGTCAAGGTCCTTACACAGACAATTCCTAGTTCTCTATGAATGCAGAGACATTGTCTCTCTCAAAAGCTTGTTCTGGAGTTGTTTTTACACTTCTCTGAGTCTTGTTCATATTTAATACAGGCCTAGCTTAAAGATCTGATTATTGACTCCTTTGCAACAATGTTCTGTTGTTATAAGATCTTTTGCTATAACTGAAGAAACAGCAGCACTAATGTTGAACAAGTGGCAAGCATGCTTTGCAGAAGTGGGAGCAAAGGGGCAGGGGATTCTAGGCAATAATGAGTACATGGTTCCTAAGGAGAAGAACAGGTGATAGGGCAAATAATTGTTTGGATTTTGCCTGGAAAATTGCAGGAGCAATTTTTATTGTATCCCAGAATCCAGTGGAAGGTGAGTAGCAAACAAAAGAGGTTGGAGGATGTGGGGAACTGTTCCTTCTTGGTAGTTAAATGAAGCTGATGGTTTTGCATGTTCTGCCAGTACTGTCGAAGAACAGCAAGCCCATACACACCACCATCCTGAACCCCCATGTCCATGTCATTGGTGAAGATGCTGCCTGCATCGCGTACATCCGCCTGACGCAGTACATCGATGGCCAAGGCCGGCCCCGCACCACACAGTCTGAAGAGACCCGTGTTTGGCACCGCCGGGATGGCAAGTGGCTGAATGTCCACTACCACTGCTCCGGAGCTCCTGCAGCACCTCTCCAGTGAGGATCAAATACGGGTATGAACTATTGGGGAAGGAGTTTATCATGCATACAGCTCGGGCTGCTGTATATAGGAATTTGGTGTTCAAGGTTCTTTAGCTGGCTAAATTTTTAGTTGTCTGTAGTCTAAAAACTTCTGCTGATCAGTTGGTGTTCCTTCCTCTAAGCCCTGTTGTCTGGAGTCGGTAGGATTATCTGCCGCTCCTGGCAGACTGGAGTCATGTCCCAGACCGTTGTTCCTTGCTGCCCTTCTAGCAGCAGTGCTTCCTCCCAGGTACTCAGCTCTGTGCTGGGACAGAGTGCTAATCCAGGGCAGAGAGGAAGAGTGCTGCTGTGCACAGGTTTCCTCTTTCCCAGCTGTCAGGGATCTACCTTTACATGCTGGGGGTGATTTCAGAGAACTTTTTTGATGAGAATATCATATTTGGGAGAGGATGTTGTGAAATTTATACAGAACAATTCCTATGCCATAAGAGTAAAGATTTACTCATACAAATTTAACTACTGATTTTCTGATTAGCAGAAGCTATTTAGTGTAGAATGTTGAGAAAACTCAGGGGAAAAAAATCTACACAAGTAATAATATCAGAGGATTTAAAATATCCACCAATTAGCTTGCCACAATTCAGCATTGGAGGAAACTGATTATAAAATATGACAGCAAATGAATTTACTTCTGCAGTATTTAGGCATTCTTGTTTATTGCCTTACTGGTTTATTTTAGTTAGATGTACAAAGTCTCTCTGCCTCCTTTCATTTTATGCTGAAATATGTGTTACATTCATTTTAAAGATCTAAGTTTCCTAATCTTAGGACCTTTTTACTAAATATTTTCTACTTTAGAGCAAACACAAAAAACATCTACACCTGGGAAACAAGCTTTTTTTTTTAATGTGGTCATTTGAGGATGAA